GGTTCTATCCAGGTTCTATCCAGATTCTATCCAGATTCTATCCAGGTTCCATGCAGGTTCTATCCTGGTTCTATCCAGGTTCTATCCTGGTTCTATCCAGGTTCTATCCAGGTTCTATCCAGATTCTATACGGGGTCTATCCAGGTTCTATCCAGGTTCCATGCAGGTTCTATCCTGGTTCTATCCCGGTTCTATCCAGGTTCTATCCAGGTTCTATCCAGGTTTTATCCAGGTTCTATCCGGTTTCTATCCAGATTATATCCAGCTTCTCTCCAGGTTCTAACCAGATTCTATCCAGGTTCTCTCCAGTTTCTATCCAGGTTCTCTCCATGTTCTCTCCAGGTTTTCTCCCGGTTTTCTCAAGGTTCTCTCTGGGTTCTCTTAAGGTTCTCTCTAGGTTTTCTCAAGGTTTTCTCTGGGTTCTCTTAAGTTTATCTCCAGGATTTCTCCAGGTTATCACCAGGTTCTATCCACGATCAATCCAGGTTCTTTATAGGTTCTATCACGGTTCTATCCACGTTCTTTCCAGGTTCTATCCAGGTTTTTTCCCGGTTCTACTCAGGGTCTATCCAGGTTGTTTCCATGTTCTTTCTAGATTATTTTCAGGTTCTATCCTGGTTCTATCCTGGTTCTGTCCATGTTCTATACAGGTTTTATCCAGGTTCTATCCGGTTTCTATTGAAATTCTATTCAGGTTCTATCCAGTTTCTTTCCAGGTTTTACCCAGATTCTATCTAGGTTCAATATAGGTTCTTTTCAGGTTCTTTACAGGTTCTGTCCAGGTTCTATCTAGGTTCTGTCCAGGTTCTATCCAGGTTCAATATAGGTTCTTTTCAGGTTCTTTACAGGTTCTGTCCAGGTTCTATTCAGGTTCTGTCCAGGTTCTATCTAGGTTCTATTCAGGTTGTTTCCAGGTTCTATCCAGGTTCTGTCCAGGTTCTATCCAGGTTCTATCCTGGTTCTATCCAGGTTCTATCCTGGTTCTATCCAGGTGTTATCTAGGTTCTATTTAGGTTTTATTTAGGTTCTTTACAGGGGAAATGCAATTTTTACTATAATTAAAAATCCTCAAAAAAATTTTATGTTTTTCTATCTAGGTTCTATCTAGGTTCTATTAAGGTTTTATTTAGGTTCTATACAGGGGAAATGTATTTTTTACTAGAATTCGAAATCCTTGATTATAAGGAGGAAATTGTTGAAATTAAACACTGCTCATGTTAGAAAGTGAGGCATGCCTTTAGTAAATACCCTACTCCATAAACTGCTATTGAACTCGTATTTATCCAGGTACAATTTAGTTCCACTAAGCTATCACGATGGACACACGATCTCATGAACTATCGATGTCAACCGGACACTATAGCTCGTATTCTATCAACGCCAAACCAATGGGCGCGATCTCGTCAGCTATCGATGTCAACAAGGACAACAGCTATTAATCGATCAATGCCAATCCAATGGACATGATCTCATGAACTTTTGTTGTCAACCGTACACTATCTCGAATCAATGCCAAGCTCGTATGTTTCAATGAGAACTCGTCAGCTATCGATGTTAATACGGACACTATAAGCTAGTAATCAATCAATGCCAAACCAATAAGCGCGATCACCTATCAATATCTTCCAAGGACACAAGCACGCAACTATCAATGCCAAACCAATGGGCACCGTTGAAATAGGCCCAATTAGGATGTTCTTCATTATATATATCACGTAATTAAGCTAATCATGCTACGCATTCATTTGAAGCGCAATTCAAATGAATAATGGGTTGTACGTAGAAGTTTACAAACATTGATAGTTAATAATGTACAACGTACTTTAGGTTTATAGAATAGTGTGTTACCCGATATTTATTACATTGCCCTCTTAAAAAGTAGAATCTCGTGAATTAACAACATCAGTCCATTCAGGAATAACATGAAACTGATCAAAAAGAACCTCTGGAATAAGAAAGAAAAAAATGTACACTCTTAGTCCTACCTAGACCCCAATTCCCATACTCGGTGTCATTATTACACGTAAACTTTCGGGTAATCATTTTCTAATGGTCCGGGGTCAAATATACAGATACCAGAGAGGGGAGGATGGTATATGACGTGTAGAGTAGTGGGGGGGGGGGGGGGAGAATTACACTTTCTGCTTGGGGGGTTTATTGAGGAAACAATAGGGGAGCAGATTAAGGGGGAGGATGTATTGGATCTATTTCAGCAATTGATAAATCACAAAAGCGTCAAATATTTGCCCCGGAAACCAAGTTTCTATATTGGAGATGGTAGGGATTTAGCAGCTCAATATTTAGCTCACCAACATTTATATTTATTGTATATACATAGGATGGATCTACGATGTTGATCGTGATTCAACATTTTTCGATTTATCATAAAGATGTTATCATATGGTACACCTCTTTTTGTCTTTTTGCGGAGAATATGAAAAGTAAAAAAAACAAGTGTTAAGAAACTATGGTTATGTAAGCAAAAATCTAATTATCCATATCCATATCTATGTATCTATATATTTATCTGACTATGTATCTATCTATGTATCTATTTCTCTGAGTTTTAGCTATGGCGTATGATATTACTAACAAAGATTTATCTGCTCGGGTATAGTTTGGTCTTCATTATTGTGATCCCTCCACCCTCGACCCCCACCCCTCCTCCTCTTCCTTCTTCCCTCATCCCTTGGGACTTTCCTCCCCTTCCCTCGTTCCTACACTTAGAAGATATACTTCTACCATCTAGCATCGACTACATTCTACAGGTGCCATGCTTCTTGCACTTGTCTTTCTCTCTAATTTATGTATTCTTCTTTATCTCTTTCTGTATTTTTATTTTCCTCTTTATGTATTCTTCTTTACCTGTTTATGTATTCTTCTTTACCTGTTTCTGTTTTCTTATTTTTTATCTTTATGTATTCTTCTTTACCTGTTTCTTTATTCTTATTTTCCTCTTTCTGTATTCTTCTTTACCTCTTTCTGTGTTCTTCTTTACCTCTTTCTGTTTTCTTATTTTCCTCTTTATGTATTCTTCTTTACCTCTTTCTGTATTCTTATTTTCCTCTTTCTGTATTCTTCTTTACCTCTTTCTGTATTCTTCTTTACCTGTTTCTGTTTTCTTATTTTCCTCTTTATATATTCTTCTTTAACTCTTTCTGTATTCTTCTTTACCTATTTCTGTTTTCTTAATTTCCTCTTTATGTATTTTTCTTTACCTGTTTATGTATTCTTATCTTTCTCTTCATGTATTCTTCTTTACCTGTTTATGAATTCTTATTTCCCTCTTTCTGCATTCTTCATTCCCTCTTTCTGTGTTCTTCTTTACCTGTTTCTGTTTTCTTATTTTCCTCTTTATGTATTCTTCTTTACCTCTTTCTGTATTCTTATTTTCCTCTTTCTGTATTCTTCTTTACCTCTTACCGTATTCTCCTTTCTTCTTTCTCTATTCTCCTTTCTTCTTTCTGTATTCTTCTTTCCCACTTTCTTCATTCAACTTTCTCTCTTTCTCTTTCTCTCTTTTCCTTCTTTCTGCACTATACTTTCTGTATTACTCCTCCCTCTTACTGCTTTCTTAATTCTTGGGCTCTTTCTGCATTATCCTTTCCCTCTTTCTGCATTATCCTTTCTTCTTTCTCTATTCTCCTTTTTTCTTTCTGTATTCTTCTTTCTTCTTTCTGTATTCTTCTATCCCTAGATTTCTATATTCTTCGTATTCCCTGTTTATATATATATATATATGTATATAACTCTTTCTTCATTAGTTTTTACCTCTTTTCTGAACGCTTTATCCCTCTTTCACTATGTATTCTTAATTCTCTCTTTTTCATTTATTTTTTTAGCCTTTTAATTTAACCAGCTTAAATAATTTGAATTCAATTAAATTTCAATAATCTCTTTCCACTGTATTATTTTATTTCACAGTATTCCAAACTAGAGAGTTCAAGACTTTATCCCACTCTTGCCATTTCACCTTTCTGTTCTTATACAAACCCCCCCCCTCNCATTGGAGTACTGGGTCCTGGAATACAATAATGTTTTTATGAGTCCATTGGAGTACTGGGTCCTGGAATACAACAATGTCAAATACAAACTCTAGTTTTATTTCAAGATAGAAAGTTAACTAGGAAGTAGTAATTAGTAGCTCAGATACTAATTCTATTTATATGTTACATCTTATTATGTTGTGTTTTGTGACTGTATTGGAAATGATTACTCTAAATCCTAAATCCTAATTCTTTGTAACATGATGTTGTTGAACTTCGATATTTTAAACTATGAATTCTTCTAGATAAAATAGTCAAAGTTTAAATTAAAATAAAAGGTTTAAACCATCAGGGTTTAAAAGATGCAGTGCGGTAGTTAGAGTATTTGGCTCAAATAAAAGTTGAATAGTTATTATCAATATTATTTACAAGATCTTTATTTTCCTTAAAAAAAGAAAAAAGTAGAAAATCGATTTTGACTTTTATGGTATCAAATATCAATTTCAGATCAATACTGTTTCAAAGCTAATAAATTATTTGAGAAGCTTTACCTCCGGTCCCCTCTACTCTAACATTCAGCAATTTTTTATACTCTATATTATAAGTTTTAATGTTATTAATTTGTATCGTAACGTAGAAGGTTTTTTGTACTGTTTATAACATTACAAAAACTGTTACAAACAATGATGTTTTACAATTTATTAAATCTATCAATTTTTTTTACAATATTTATAAAATAGTTTTGAGATTTTGAGAGACTAGATTTCTTTGGCATTACATTGTTTCGTTCTTTAAAGATTTGTAATGATTTAAGGTGTAAATGATGGCATTGAATGACCAGCGGAAGCTTGATTTATTTTTTTTAATTCATGTAATTATCATAGAACATTTGTCAAAGGGACCGTGCCCAATTTTTTCTATATTCATATTGTAATTATTTAGAACACTGGTCAATGCATATTGCTAGTTATAGATCTAGGCAACTACAGGGGGATAAATAGATAATGGGGTGGNTGACTGAGAAGGGGGAAGAGGGGGGGCGGGCAGTTATAATTGAATGATTGGAAGAATATGGCACGGTGTTTTTTGTCCTTGGAGGACATATTTAGATGTATATTAGTTACGCGTGATGAAAAAGTATTCAATAAAGAAAAGGGGTTGGATGAAGACAACTTGGGTACAAAAGTAAGGTTGGTATTAGAACACAGTTACAACAAGAATGGAAGAGGGATTTGGTTAAGAGCCTCCTAGACATTATTATCCCTGTTTATAATAAATTTATCCATTCCTGGATTATGAACTGTCTCCGTAATGCTGTAGTGAGGTAGGGGAAGAACTTCACAAAGAAGGGAGATTTCACCCTGGCGGAGGAGAAATACAGTTCCACCCTCAACACCCCTGGAAGAAACTTAATTTAGAAAAAAAAAGAAAATTTGTTTTCTTAAACTAAGGAAAGTAATTCACCTTGAAACCATAACTTCAGAGACTAGAGACCAGGACTGGATTTCACATTGTTCTCGTTCATTTTGTAAAACAGGTCTAAAATATATCATTTCAGCTAGATTTTTAAAAATTGATCGCCTCAACTCTAATTTCTAATTCATTTATTTTTGCAACATTAACCTCTGATATTCTATAGAGATTTGATAATTTATTTGATAAAATCATCGTTCGAAATATCAGAGGTCTGGTTTCAAAGATATCAGTGTTTGAAAATTCAAATTTGAGTCGAGTTATCAGTTCATTAATTTTCCAATTAAATCTGTTTTGTATAAAGGGTTACTGTTGCATTGCCACCAGAAGTCCAGAACTATAGTTTTAAGATAAAAATAACAAAGATTATAAGCTAGGCCTGTAGTAAATGCTAACTTCATAAACAATTCTGGGAAAGTATCTATCCAGGTACAACCAAAGAGAATAGAATATATATTAGAGGGGAATTTACTAGAAAAAAGTGTAAAACGGCCATTTTTGTTGTACTGTTTCCATACTGCAGGTGTACTTCACATATTTATGCTATATAACCTTTTGGGCCCTGGAATATCATTTTATAGTAAATCTAAAATTAATGTTGAAAGAAAACCGAATTATGAAATAGGCTGGTTTCATAATTGACCAATGATCATTTCCCATAGACTCTATGCCTTTCACTTTACAAACGATGATTTTCCGTTAAAACTATAAATCAAATGATGTTTTTTATTCGCCTAATTCATTATAAAGTTTAATTAACAGCTTTAAAAAATTCAAAATTGAAATGAATAGTCTAGCTGGAACATATTGTATTAATGTACTCTACTGCATATAATTTGTGAATATTTACATGATTTGTACACCTTGAACTCCCTTTCAGGCTAAGAGGGACTGAAAAATTCATACCGAGAGATTCTCTAAATTCCCCTCTAATATATATTCTATTCTCTATGGGTACAACTCAGGATTTCTTGACTATCAATGTCAAAACACAAATACGATCTGTGATCTATCAACGCCACTACGCACTGGATGTGATCTCGTAAGCTATCCATATCAATCCCAAATTAAAGTTTTATCAAAAAAGGGAACGAATACTATCTCACTCAGTAAACAGTATGGAGTTTCTACGTACATTGAATGGGTTAATCGCAATACATGATTTACGTATTTACTAATGGGCACATTTAGCTAGATGGACAATATGCAAAGTAATTTACTAAGATTCTCTATTTTTGCTCCTGGCCGGGATTTTGAAGTATTTACTAACTGTTGTTTTTTTTTAACGAAAAATCACTTCATTAGCATTCTTAACTCTTAATACGTTACCGTTAACACCCCCTTAGTTTTTAAAACATTGACAAGATGATTACATAATTTATAGAACCTGGTGATGAGGTATTTCTCAAGGAAGGCTTTGGGCGCCATATCGTAGGTGATGGTGGTGGCAAGGTGGGTCAGGATGGAGTCCATTGTGTGCCGGGGCTGCTGACGGGTTATTCTAAAATAAAATAAAAACATTAAGGTTTCTTTATAAATTCAAGATCATTATTTATATTATTAATTATAGCTATAAATAGCAATCAGAATAGCAATAAGAAAATCAGAGACTTCTACTTTATGTACAGTATCAACTTTATTTACCTCAGATATTTCTGAAGAGGACGGACAATAGAAGGAAATATAGTCTGAGCAGCTTCATACGAGTCCATTGGAGTACTTGGTCCTGGAATACAACAAGGTTTATATGAGTCCATTGGAGTACTGGGTCCTGGAATACAATAATGTTTTTATGAGTCCATTGGAGTACTGGGTCCTGGAATACAACAAGGTTTATATGAGTCCATGGGAGCACTGGGTCCTGGAATACAACAAGGTTTATATGAGTCCATTGGAGAACTAGGTCCTAGAATACAACAAGGTTAATAGGAGTCCATGGGAGTGCTGGGTCAAAGCCTACAATAGGATTTATAGGAGTCCATGGGAGTTCTAGGTTCTGGAATACAAAAAGGTTAATTGGAGTTCATGTGAGTATACTGGGTCCTGGAATACAACAAGATCTATAGGAGTCCATGGGAGTACTGGGTCCTGGAATATTAAAATGAAAAGTCTATACTATATAGGACGTGTACAATATGCTTTAGCCTAAACATTTCCTATTTGAAAATCTATTCTTCTCTTTTTGTTTTGTGTTGCATTTTGCGCTTTTCAGTCACAATGTTTTCATCACTAAACAAAGTTTTTTAGTTGACCTCATAAACCATTTAAATATATTTATCAATTTTCCTATGAATCTATTTATCATGCAGTTTTGGTAGAACTTTATTCCTGAGACCACAAAAGGACAATTTTCATTGATTGCTTATTATTTAACATAATAAGTAAAACGTCCATTTACGTTTCAAGTTCTTGCATTCAGATCTATAAAATTATTTTTATTGTCTATCTAACCATTCGTCTTTGTTTTTATGAAGACGACATGCCCAAGATGCAGTTTCTCTAGTGCCATACATGGCTCTATAATCATCTACCAGATTTAAACTTCCATTGACGATATTCGTTTGCGGAAAAGTTGCTTGTCTGTTGTTTTGCTTTCATCTCTCTTCTTGCCTTTGCCCTCAGCTCAGCTTGTCTTTTTCTATCTCTCTGTGTCTGTATTGTTAGACAACAGACAAATACAAATCCTGACGGACAAAATATTCTGGGTAAAAATTACAACAATACTTTCGAGTTGGAAAAATTGGAAACTTGGCCATTGAATAGGTTGAAAGAAGAGGTCAAGATATCAGTTTCAGAAAAAAGGGAAAAATGTCCAATTAGAAGAAAAACCGGGCAGGGTTCAACCGATATATATTTTTCTCTTAGAACTTAATTCCAGGGATAATCATTTCCAGGATATCAGTTAATCTTAAGTTCAACGTTTTTGTTCAGCATTTAGCTGAAAACTGATTAAATGAGAACTGCAGTTGGGTTTTAGGAACTCTAGATTCCCCTCTAAATATCGATCAGTATATTTGATATAAAATAAGCTTATTTAAAAATATTACATTTATAATTAAATTAAAATTTACCCTTAACACTATCGGTATTGACACGTTTGATGTGGGAGAAAGCTTCCTCAGTTGCAGTAATAAGTCTAGCTCGCCGCTTTTTTAATCTAAAATAATATGTTTAAAGGGACAGATGTTAAATTTCAAGTGACCCTACATGTGTCCGATCACAACGATCCCCTTTAAACCTGTATCTGATCAATAATGTAATATAAATTGGATTTTCGTTTTCTAGTTTGAAAACTGGTTAATTCTGATAATTTCCTCCACTGCAGCTGAAATTTATAAGTGGCTTCTATAGAGTAACCACATTGGAACATTCTAAACTTTAAACAGAGGCTTAAAAGAATACAATTTTATCGAACGTGCCACTATTTTTTTTAAATGGATAGTCAACTGGTAGAAATTCTGGAGAAAAATGTACAATATTGACAGAAAAAAGTTTTTAAAATCTGCTTAAATTCTGCAGACCCCAATCTCATCATATTCCCTTCGAGCGGAACTAACAAAGTTAAACAAAGTTCCAAAAAGTTAGTAAACACATGAATTGATATTCTGCTCTCGGCTCAACAACTTTACATCATTATAATTTATATCAACAGAGGTTCAGGGTGTGTATACACATACTAATATCAAATTTCGAGGATTTTAGAATTTTAGTTTGGGGTAATTTTTAATCTAGAGTCCTGAGCTCAAAACTTTTAAATAGAGATAGCGGGATCAATGCTTGATCTCCTCTTTTTATTAATCTGAAGACTTATTTAACCCTATCCCCGCTGGGGTACTTGAAAACCAGGATACGCTGGGGGGGGGGTCAATTTGACCCCCCCCCCTCTAAATCCCATGTTTTATGTCCAAATATGACAAATGATACATCATTAGAAAGCTCTTGTGCTCTACTTTTAGAATCTGCAAAAAAATTTGCAAATTTGCGAAAATTGAATTTTTTATCGCAAAATCCAGTTTTATAGTAAAAATGTTTGCAAAAAAAAATTTGTCCAAAAAATGACAAATTATACATTTTTGAAAAGCCCTTGACCATGCCATTTCAAATATGCAAAAATTTTTGCAAAATTTTAAATAACCTGATTTTTAATCAAGAAAAACTAAAAATGTGCAAATTTCCTTTGACAGGTTGTTTGCAAAAAATTTGCAATTTTTTTTTCGCAAAACTTGTGCAATCCGTTTCCTTATGTCATAGGCTTTCCAAAAAGCTAAATTTTATCAAAATCTGACAAGTGAAAGTGGGTCAAAACAAAGATTTAGTTTGCTACAGGCAAAAACAGTCATTCAGGCAGTGTGCCTGAGGACTCAGGCAGTTAGTATTAAAGCCCGGTTTTAGGCCTAAAGGGAGGGCTTTGGGTATGTAAGAAAAGTCAGAAAATTTCAACAGCCTCAGACCAATACTTTTTGAGTTATGCAAAAAAAACTACAGGGGGGGGTCAAATTGACCCCCCCCCAGCGGGAATAGGGTTAATCTAACGTTCTTCACCGGGAAATTATTTAAACTACAACCAATCAGGTGTCGATTGTAAAAAACGTGCAGCCAATCAAAAGCCGAGAAATTTCAAAATTTTGGCGCGCAATCAAAAGTGTCAACTGCAGCGGATACAAAGATTTAACAATCAGGATTAGGGGTATCCAATACAAGAGTTTTCAGCTCTAAGTTGAAAACTTTAGATTTGTCGATATCGAGATCAATGCTTGATATCCTTTTTTGTTAATCTGCAGATTAATATAATCTTTATTTTGAAAGTGTTCACAGTGGATATTGAGATTAAGAGAACGGGATTAAGAGTATATAACACTCTTGTATTGTAGATATCGAGATCAACGCTTGATCTCGATCTTTTGTTAATCTACAGATTATTTTAATCTTTATTTGATATCCCGCGAAGCGACAATCTGATATCCAATCAGAAGCCAGTGAATTTTGCGTTCAACCAATGAAAGAACAAAGAAATTACGGGGATCCAAAATCAAGGGATTGAGCAGTTTCTACGTAAAATTCAAAAGTGGCCACTTTGCATTTTTACATGTATTAAAATCATGCTTTGAACTGAAATTAAAAAAAAAAACAACGGGGCGTAATTCCTCCCTCCCCTAAAATCAGACAAAAAACTGAACAGGGTAGACAGCTACAAATATTTCCCATCTTACCTTCTCTCGTATTCATATTCCTCGTAGAAGAGATCATTGTGTCCGAAATCCTTCCTGCTTCTGAACCCGGGAGAACTGACACGAGAGTCCTTAATTAATGAGCAATAATTGAGGAATATTTTGACAAATATTTAACACATAAAAAATGTTACCCACCACAAACTCATCCAGATTTTTTTATTGCAAGAGATGGACAATTATGACAATATTTTATAGTTTATGAATTGGTTTTAAAATTGGGTTTATCAAGTTGGTTTTTTAATTTTTTTAAAGTTGGTTTTGATCTTGGTTTTATAATTGGTTTTGGAATTGATTTTGGAATTGGTTTAGAATAATTTTCTGAATTTTTTTGGAATCTGTTTTGAAATTGGTTTCAGTATTGGGTTAAGAATTGATTTTGTAATTAGTTTTGGAATTGGTTAAGGAATTGGTTAAATATTTAGTTTAGGTATTGGTTTAGGAATTGGTTTTGGAATTGGTATTGGAATTGGTTAAGGAATTGTAGAAGGAATTTAAATCGGAAAAGAGCTTTTTTTGCACTGCTTAAGTTTTCCAATCATTTCAGAACCTTTATTTTTACACCTTTGTTATTTGTTATGTATTCATCATGTTATCAGTATTATTTAAATAATAAAAGTTGATTTTCAACAAACGTTGTTTTAAAAAATTGAAATATTTTAAACTGAGTTGAACAATATTTGGTAATAAATGTTGTATACAGGGATTCAATAAACCTGATTTCCCACTCCGATCATTCTAAATATTGGATAAACTTTATACAGACACACGGGTACACAGGGTTTAAAATCAAACAAGGTTGGGTCTACTTCAGATTAACCCTATATATACTGTACAGTCTAGTATACTATAGTTCATCATTTCATTAATCTAAAATATCTCAGATAAAAAGGGTCAGGGGGGTAAAACATACAAATTACTCAGATACGGAAAAGTGACAAGCTCAGATGTTTTCAAATAAAAACTACAAAAAAGTCGTAAAGTTAGAAAACTCAGCAATATTTACTATTGAATGATTAACGATCAACTTTTTTGAGAATTCGTTAATTTTGTTTTAAAAACTCCAGTCTCAAAACTAATATATGAATCTTATAAATTTTTTGGATATCCAATAAAGTGATCTATCTTAGTCTCATGATTATTGTATTTTCTACCTTATCATGATAATTTCCGAACCCATCTACATCATAGAACTTATAATTATCCCTTGCAACATACTCAGATCTACCTCCATACTCACGGTTATCCCTGATAATGATAATAATAATAGTAATAATGATAATAATAATAATAATAATAAAAAATAAGTTTTTCGAGTATTAAGGGTTTATTTTGGTGTTAAAGATTGGAGATAATCTAATATGATATGGGACGCTCTGTATATAAACTATATCTGTACAATGTACAGAGTACAATACAAGGCTGGTAATATATTGTACAGTAGCTTAGCAACCCTAGCATTTATCTATCTATCTCCATCTGCTTGTATCTAGATGAATTCCAGGCCGATAGAAAAACATTAGTTGCTAGGGCAGTGTAAGCGCAATGTATTTTTCAGGCCATATCTTATCATTTTCTTTTATTTTGCAAAATTTAATTGTACATTGCAAAGTTGGTGTAGAAAGGAGGGATGGATGACTTACTATTATATCTACAGGGTTACTTTACTAACTCACTTATTATTATATCTACAGGGTTACTTTACTAACTTTCTTACCATTTTATTGACAGAGTTACTAAAAAGCTAGTTTTTATGTAGAAACTAAATTACATTTTTTAGTCATTTTATTTTTGTTTCTAGTTGTTTGAGTCCATTCTTGCTTTTTGTAATTTTATAGAGCTGGGTATCGAAAAAAATGTTAAAATTCCAAAACTAGAGACGATGCTTGCTTTTACTTCAATTTTAATAAAAAAAAATTATTTTTTGATTTAGAATTTAGGAGACTTATTGGTTCGGACCTAAATGCAATTGCGATAGAGAAATTTTCAAATCAATGTTGTTGAATATTAAAATGTATTTTGAAACACCCTGCTTGTTGAATGTGTATATATATATACCTGTCTAGAACTGTAGATGCTGCTTGTTGAATGGACATTTGTCCCAAGGGATATCCGCCACTCTCACCATCAGGACTCCTAGGTGTACAATGTATAGAGAGATACATACGTAAATATACACGAACTAGACTCCTATTTGTATAAAGTATAGAGAGATACAGACGTAAATATACACTAACTAGACTCCTAGGTGTATTATGTATAGAGAGATACAGACGTAAATATACACTAACTAGACTCCTAGGTGCATAATGTATAGATAGAGATACAGACGTAAATATACACTAACTAGACTCCTAGGTGTATTATGTATAGAGAGATACAGACGTAAATATACACTAACTAGACTCCTAGGTGCATAATGTATAGATAAATACAGACGTAAATATACACTAGCTAGACTCCTAGGTGTATAATGTATACAGAGATACAGACGTAAATATACACTAATTAGACTCCTAGGTGTATAATGTATAGAGAGATACAGATGTAAATATACAATAACTAGACTCCTAGGCGTAAAATGTATAGAGAGATACAGATGTAAATATACACTAACTTTACTCCTAGGTGTATAATGATACAGAGATACAGACGTAAATATACACTAACTAGACTCCTAGGCGTATAATGTATAGAGAGATACATATGTAAATATACACTAACTAGACTCCTAGGTGTATAATGTATAGAGAGATACAGATGTAAATATACACTAACTAGACTCCTAGGTGTATAATGTTTATAGAGATATACAGACGTAAATATACTCTAAATAGACTCCTAGGTGTATTATACATAAAGAGATACAGAAGTAAATATACAATAACTATTTTCCTATGTTAATAATGTATAGAGAGATACAGGCGTAAACTAAACTCCTAGGCGTATAATGTAAAGAGAGATACAGACGTAAATATACACTAACTAGACTCCTAGGTGTATAATGTATAGAGAGATACAGACGTAAATATACAATAACTAGACTCCTAGGTGTATAATGTATAGAGAGATACAGATCCTAGGCGTATAATGTAAAGAGAGATACAGACGTAAATATACACTAACTAGACTCCTAGGTGTATAATGTATAGAGAGATACAGACGTAAATATACAATAACTAGACTCCTAGGTGTATAATGTATAGAGAGATACAGACGTAAGTATACACTAAAAAGACTCCTAGGTGTATAATGTATAGTGAGATACAGACGTAAGTATACACTAAAAAGACTCCTAGGTGTATTATGTATAGAGAGATACAGACGTAAATTTACAATAACTAGACTCCTAGGTGTATAATGTATAGTGAAATACAGGCGTAAATATACACTAACTAGACTCCTAGGTGTATAATTTATAGAGAGATACAGGCGTAAATATACACTAACTACACCTAATACGTCTAATAGAATATAAATCTATTATTATCTTCATACCTAAAGAAGAAGCTTACCAAACTACCAGGAAAAGAACAAGATTACCAATATAATTGGGGGGAAAAGCTTACCCAACTAACTGGGGAAGGCAAGGATTACGTTCCTGGAGAAGGTAATGTATACCCAACTACACGGAGATAGTACTGCATACCTCACCACCCTGAGAAGGCAAAGCTGCCTAACTACCCGGAGTAGGCAAAGATTACCTGATACCCTGAGAAGGTACTACTTACCAAGTACCTGCAGAAGGTACTGTTTGCCTAACTACCATGAGAAGGTACTGATTACCTAACTATTAGGAAAAGTACTGCTTTTCTAACTACCCTGAGAAGGTACTGATTGCCTAACTACATAGAGAAGGTACTGCTTACCTAACTACATTGAGAAGGTACTGCTTACCTAATTACATTGAGAAGGTACTGCTTACCTAACTAAATTGAGAAGGTACTGCTTACCTAACTAAATTGAGAAGGTACTGCTTACCTAACTACATTGAGAAGGTACTGATTACCTAACTACATTGAGAAGGCATTGCTAACACTTCTTACCTAACTACATCGAGAAGGTACTGCTTACCTTACTACCCTGAGAAGGTATGTGGTTTGGTTATGTCTGAGCTCGACAAGGAGAAGTGCAAGATAGTGAAGAACCAGGAGACTGTCTAGGTAACTGCCAGAATACCGAACTAAAAAAGAAATAAAAATAAAAAACAAGAATCTATTCAATTTATTTAATTAATAAGACAAATTGAAAGATTAAAAGCCAAAGAAAGAAAGCAATTAGGTTATTTCTTCTAAAATAGAAAAACTATTGGATTAAGTGAATGGAACCTAATTTACTGGATAAAAAGTTTAAAAAAAGGAAATTAGAACAAAATGAATTGTTTACCTATATCAGCATATTGCACTTTTCTTCGCTCTTCCATTATCCTGAAAAAAAATAAGATTCTTACAATAGTTCTTTGTATTTAATACATGTTATTTGTTAATTCAATATCCAAATGTAGTTTAAGAAAATTTAGTAAATGCAAATCAAATAATTCGAACAAAAATATCTCCTGCAGTTGCAACCAAAATAGCAGATTGGAGCTTTGTTTTCTAATTTTGCACTTTTTCTCAATTTTGACTGTTTAAAAAAAATTAGAATAAAGCTAAACGTACTAAAAATTTAAGACAACAATGACGCTCATTCCTAGTTTAAAATATTTTAATATTAATTTTAATATTTAAATTTTAATTTAAATTTCAATTTTACCTAACACCATAGAAGAGCCAGAAAGCTAAGCACAGAACGAACATTAATAAACAAACCAGTCCACGAAACAACAACAATCTAAACAAAGATCATTAAAGGGGCTGTCAACGAAATTTAAAGTGAATCTTCATTAAAAGAAATTGCATGCTCGATTAGCAACCCGGTACCCTTTAAACCTTTGTCTCATAAAAAATTGGTTATTTGAATTGCGGTTTCTCTACAAAGCAAGGGACTTATTAATTAGTGCAGTACAGACAAAATAGTAAATTGACAGAATTCGTCACTTTTTAAGCTATAAAAGCGGTTATGTTTTCCTTTCAATGTTGTTTAAAGAAAGATTTGCAGGGTTCCGTTGTAAAATAAAATAAAAAAGTAATTTGAAATTACGTTGAAAGACAATATAATAGAAAATGTAGACGTAAGTTCCTGTAATTTTCAGATTGGAATGTCTGATTCACAATTGTACCCATAAGTGTTTTGTCTTATCAAGAACATATTATAACTCCACTTTTTTCTCAAAGTGGCTTACTGGTTTATGCGGCAAAAAAATGGAGGAAAATGTCGGAATTGAACACTTTTCAAGCTTAACAAACGGCGATATTTCCCACTTTTTTCATTAGATAAAGGTAGTTTACATAATGGTTGCCATTGTAAATCGGACATGGCCCTCTTTATATCGAGGATAAATTGATATTATAACGACGACGGTCCTTGTAAAGGATGCATGTATATGTGCTTGCATTTCTAAATGACAGTTTGATGTTTTAAAAACCGCCAAAAAATGAAATTCTATATATTGGTTAAACTATTTATCATGGATGCCTTACAGGCCGATTCCATTTAGGTTCTTTTTCTCTATTTCCACTATGGCATTATCAGATCTAATTCATATTTTGATACGAAAACATTGATATCAAAATTAAATATTTATTTATACCCTTCAATTTAAGGTAATGTTTTAGTTTGAAAGCTAAGTGTTGTATTGCAGTTTTTCTTATTTTTTCAATTGGATTCTGTATTATCTTGGATATAATATATTTTTCTTTAGATATTTTTGGCAGAGGATACGGTTAGTAGGAGTAGCAGGAGTAGTTTAGGCCTGATCTTCTTTACTTCTTGCCAAACCATCCCAATCCTATTCTGTACACTCATTGTACGTGTTTAGTTGTTCATATACTATTTAGTCATTGTACAGAAGTATTCAGTAGTTTACATACTGTACATACAGTGTACAGAGGGTATTCATGAGTTCACATACTATATACTCATTGTACAAAAGTATTATGTAGTTTACATACTGTACATACAGTGTACAGAGGGTATTCATGAGTTCACATACTATACACTCATTATACAGAAGTATTCAGTAATTTACATACTGTAAACGCATTGCACTTGGGGTATTCAGGAGTTCATATATTGTACACTCATTTCACGTGTGCAAGGTTCAGATACTGTACACATACTGTACAGGGGATATTTATGAGTTCATGTACTGTCCACTCATTGTACAGTGATCCCCCCCCCTCCACGATATCTTGAATATAAAATTCTGAACCATAACTATCCTCACCTCACCCCCCTTCCCTTTCATTATTAATTCCTAGTCATTAAAGTCAAAGAATAATTTAACTTTTAATCAAATAAGAATATTAATGATTTCTCTTTGGTCATTTCCAAGAAAAAACTGTATCCTGTGATGTTTTTTATTATCTAAAATTTATGGGGTTAGGGTAAAGGGAGTCTGAAAACATAAAGGCGTGCAATCAAAAGAACCTATTTTTTTATTAAATTATTCTTGAATGAAATCCATTACTTTCCTAATCCTAGAACAATTTACCTAGGCATCGTAGATTTAGGTTTCCTATAGAATACAGCCCAGGAACCTAAACAGAAAATTACTAAGTAATAATTCAAGAAGTTTTTTTGGATTAGTAGGAACTATGCTCTAAAACTCTATCTTTGCACAGTTTGAATAAAAAATAAAATTAATGAATATATTTCTCATTCTCTTTATGAACGGGTAATTAACCAATCTGTAATTGGCAATCATTTTATTGATTTTAAGTAAAACCTACAACCCACCCATGGGAAACAAGTTAATATCCATCAACCACGGATCTTCCTAATTTGGAGAAGCATCGAGTACAAGTATAATTTACAACTACTGCCAAAGATGTTCTTTCACATCAGTTTCAAGACTGTTGATAATCTGCTCCTAGCCAAAACTCCTTTTATCACATTTGTCATTATTTATAAGTGGAGATTCTGACATTGGGTACTTTAAATTTTCAAAATTCCACGTTCCAGAAAACTTGCAAGGATTATTATTTCATTATTGCTCATGGGTTCAGTGTCAGCAGCTGAGATATTAAATTTAAAAAAATATATAATTAGCTAAACTTCCTTGCAACAAACCAGAAATATCAGACAGAATTAAAAAAAATCATTGATATTAGCAGAATAGAAGAGAAGAATGCACGGACTATTTCTATTACTAATTATTTTGAAAATATCAAAACTAAATGTTGGGGTTTTGTTTCACACTTGGGGTTTTCGGAGTTCTGAGATCCCCCCCCCCCCGGGGGGAGAATCCCGGGGACCCAAGAATCACAAAGTGGGAAAAATTGGAATACGGTAATACTATGCAAATACAGTCTGTAATTGTCTTTTATAAAACCTTTTTAAAAATTTTAAAAAATAAATTGTTAAAAAAACAAATGAAAGATTTAATATGTTGAGTTGAGTTTGTGGCAAAGACTCAACTCCTTTTACAACATATTTTACACACTATTAGGCAGATTCTCTTACCTATAGATAGACATAGTAGTTTAAAGGTAAAAGATATTAGGAATCCATCACATTCAACATCACATTTCAACTGAGAATTCCTAAATAACAGAGACATATTAGGAATCCATCACATTCAACATCACATTTCAACTGAGAATTCCTAAATAACAGAGACATATTAGGAATCCATCACATTCAACATCACATTTCAACTGAGAATTCCTAAATAACAGAGAAATATTAGGAATCCATCACATTCAACATCACATTTCAACTGAGAATTCCTAAATAACAGAGAAATATTAGGAATCCATCACATTTAAGAGAAAGATTCTAAATAACAGAGAAATATTAAGAATCTATCACAAGAAATTCTGAATGCAAATTAACAAGATGATTTTAAACATTTTCTTTTATATCTAAGAAAGAAGAACTAGAATTATTTTTTCTTAGATTTTAAAAAACTGATTTATAATTGTGTTTTAGTTACATGATTCAGCAATAATGTACTGATCAATGCTGACAACGTTTATTTGTACACCAACAAAAATTAATTGATTTTCAGCTCAAAAACAAGAATATTTTATTCATTCTTGACAAGTTTAAGATTAAAAGGGTAACGTTGTGAAAATTTTGTTATATTCTTGATGGTTTTATACCTAAGGTTGAATATGGAGAACTGTGGAAGGATAAGCATAAGTATTGGAGAGATAAATGAGAGAATGGAGAGGAATATGGTGATGTAGTGTCCGGCGAATCTCTGAACCTGAAATCCTAGGCTTGACTGATATTCTAGTAATCCTCTAAAGAAACAACAACTTGATCTTTCAAGGGAGTGAAGACGAGGGGGATTGCTTGAGGTGAAAACGCAGAATTGTAAAATAAAAATCAAGAACTATTTGGCTTCACGATGATATTACGAAATGTAACAGTTATTTAAATTATTTCCGGGACGATCCTTTCCTTATGTTCACTTCGACAGGAGTGGTCATTCCCACCCCATGGGACGTATTGCGGGTTTCACATATTCTTGTGTAATACCCAGTATTTTCTAAATCATGTTAGGCAATACGATTTAGTTATTTAGTTTGATAATAGTTATTGTTTCCCTGTTTGGTAGAGAGGTTTCCAGTTCAACATCAGACATTCCACTCAGAGCAGTTGTATTATCTGCCCAATCATCAACAGTAGGAAGGATATTCACCTAAACATATTGAGAATTGAGATACAATGCAAACAGATTTAACAATTCAGAAAACTGTGAAGAAATCAAACGCATCTAGTTAGCGTAGGAATGAGTCCATCAAAAGACAAAATTTACTTGGAACTTTGTTATGAACCATAACAGGACCCATTAGACGAACCCTTTATAGTGGTATTTCATTTTGAAAATCTTATTTTAGGTATAGTATGCAGTTAACACTTTTCCTACATCTTCCTTTAAAAAATGTAATATTTCGACGGCTAATTGATATTTTTCGAAAAGAGTAGAGATGTGACACTCATGGATTTAAATAGACTGCAGTTTGCATAATTTCAAGAGACCTATAGTGCAAAGATGGCATTGCTTGATTCACAAAGTTACCCTTGACATTTTTTATTTTAAGGGTACCATTGTCCCTTTAATGCTTACAGTCCCTTTAATGCTCATATTTGGTTATTTTTACTAAATTTTAATATACTTACCTGAAAAGCAGGAAAAATTCAAATTATCATAAACTTTTCAAAATTTTTTCTAGATGTGACCAATTTGTATAAAGAATTAATACTTAGATAGAATTAATACTTTCGGAAAATGTATATACTATATAGACCAAAGGTTCAAATTCTAATACCTGGGTGTTATGATATCTGGACTGCATAGGAACTGATACAACAGAGGCATGGTAGGGGGACTGCTGTATGTTCGAGTTATTAAACGGAGTAAACTGATGATAATTATTCACCGAGTTCAGATTATTTATATTCCTAATTTTGGGAAACATTTCAAATTAAAGTTAATTTACAAATAATTCAAAATAAAAGTAATTCAAATTTTTTTTAAATGGGTGATAATATTTTGTTGTTTTCCAAGTTCCTGCTGAGAGAGTAGTTGGATAAGGATGTGAGGTTTCCTTTTATTACAAAATTCAAATAAAATAAATAAGAGAGGAAGGGTCGTAAAATGTAAATGTTTAACTTGGAACAGGGTAGTGAGGAGGAATGAAAGAAGAGTAGAATAAAAATAAAATTATTACTAATAAGACGAAATGTATAAAGATGTACAGAGTTACCTCAAAGAATGAGACTATAAAGACGACTTAAAACTATTTACATATGACGATTACAAGGTTAAATTAAGTCTTCTGCCTTTAATATTGCCTTTTAATGGCTTTTTTAATGACTTGACAAAGACAGAAACAAATGTAAAGTTGCAGACAATCATGTACATAGAGAAATGGACACTATAAATTCCGTACAGTCGTCTCTGAAATCTGATTCTTTGTGGGTAACCCTGTATGAAAAATTATCTAGATAATTGATATTTGGAGACATGTTGAAAAATAAAGAATGTTGTATTGCGCAGAAATAAAGAAACCGGGGATATATTCTTTTCAATAAAAATGTATGAATTTTGTAATCCCTGGAACAGGAGGTAGAGGAGGTAGGTTAGGGAAGTTGCTGACGGATAAATTAGATTTGGCAGGAAGCGTTGTCGTTGGATTCAGTCTCCCATAGTTGGATCTATAATGCAATAAACATTTTATCAAATTTTATTTATTAATTAATTAGTTGAATAACTAATTGATTAGTTGAATAACTAATTGATTAGTTGAATAACTAATTGATTAGTTAATTAACTAATTGATTAGTTAAATAACTAATTGATTAGTTGATTAACTAATCAATTAGTTAATTAACTAAATAATTGGTTGGTAACTGAACGGAAAGTAAGCATTTGATTTATTTTAATGTAATTTATATCATTTCAAAATTTTGTAATCAAATTTAGGTGTAAAAATCCGCAGAATATAAAATGTAAAAAGCAATTTTTAAGAAGTTTTGTTAGCTAATTTTTTTTCTAAAGAAACACCAAAAAAGGACTTTAAAAAATCTTTAAGATTGTTCAGATTACAAAAAAAGCATTGTAATAAGCTTACAGGGTACAATTTGAATTGTTCAAGGTATCTTTAATTAAAGAGATCCTTAAATACAACAATCCCATTCATATTTAAGAGGTAAAAATTTATGTCAGATTAAACAAAATTCATTTAATTTGGTTTAATATCTCGTTTGCCAACACACTTACCTTCTTTCCTAGAAAAATGTTTTTAAATTTATGGACGACCAAACAAGTTTTATTTTATCAATCTTGGTGTACAATGAAAAATAGAAGAGGAACAAGATTGCAAAGTTGTTCCAGTAAAATACATTTTCCCAAATAAGCCTAGAGTGAGCCTTTAACGATAAATTTGATCAAGGTTGCTGGTCCTACCTTGAACTCTTCACAGAGTGTCCTGAAAGAATGCTTTCAGTTTCCATTTTAACCCAGTTGGTTGGATTACCAGGCGTAGAGGTCAGAAGGTAGGGCATTACAGGCCTTAATAGAGGTAGGTATTAAAGGAACAGTTTACAAATTTCAAAACAATCATTAGAAATACATTTTTAAGTTAGGAATTTTATCATTGGTTGGGTTGTAGCGTAAATAAACCCTTTCTCAAGATTTCAGTCGCTATAAACAATTCAAAATTCAATTACTAGAATGAAAATCTTTTTTTTTGAAGATGCCTTTTAGAAAATTGTACAAGTTGACCCATGTTCGGTATATAATGTTTCAAATCCGGTTTTCTGGTCTGCGTTGCTTGATTCCAGACACAGAACAGAGGTTATTCTCTTTAATTCCAGGTATTCAAAGCAAATTAATTGAACTCATCTTTATCATTTTTTAAAGAAATCTTTATCCTCATCAGTACAAAGTCACAGATTTTTTTATATTATATACCTGATTCATGCTACAGGAACTGCCCTTCTTGTTTCTGTTGATCCTTGAGGTTTTATCGATTAGTTCCCAGATCTTTGAAATATTCCAAGCTTTCTGACTTTTTCGAGGATTTTCGTGGTTCGTCTCAATCAGGTTCTTAGGTGTGATTTACATTTCTCTGAAATGTTAATTACTCTATTTAATTTGATTCTACTTGTTACTTCTTCTTGAATTTGTGGTACATTTAGAGAAATGAAAAACATAAAACTATTTAAGATTATATTTAGGCAGGGGGATNTGTGAACCAAATATTTGAAGTTTGGAGGATCAACAATGGAGATCTTAAAATATGATTGTACAATGATGACAAATTATGTTGAGATAATCTTTATCCTATAGGGGTGTTCACAATCTCCCCCCCCCATGCTGCAAGAAGCCCTTCCCCCTGTTCCCCTAAGCAGCTAGGCAGTATATTTTATCCTTTTCTCTCTGACTATTTCGCTCATTCTTGCGAATTACAAAACTTTTATTTTATAAATTTTCTTTAAATTGGTTTTATCCTGATAACTCTTATTTTCTCTTCATTCTTTCCTCATTGTTTTATGCCATTAGTAATCGAGTTGACCATGTTTACAAACTGATTTCTTAAACCAATTTATTTTTACTTTTTACATATCTCGCTTACTTTCAAGATGACTGATTTTTAATCTATTTTTTATTAAAATTATGCATCAAACATTAAAGTTTCCTTAGGCATTCCGTTTGGTTCTGCCTTTCCGAGCCCTGGAAATGAAGATTTTAAAACTGCAAATTACTTGTTACTAATTTTAGTTTAGAAGGAGTAAAGGGTAAAATTTTGAAAGATGTTTACGTCAGAAAGTGAAAATTTTAGCTCACAGTAATAGAGCGATTGGTTTTCATGACTAGGAGAGTTGAGTATTTAAGAACCTTCAAGATTCTACGTTTAAGGTAAAATATTCTATAGTCATCATACTTTATATAGGATAAAATACAGGGTTACTATAAATCTAAGATCATTGTTGCAGGGTGTCACAGAAAAAAAACTGTTCCTCAAGTATTTTAAAAAATCAGGCTTTTGAAGTAATCTCTGTTTGATGGTTTGTATGTCTGATTATAAACCCTTAGACCGATTTGCCTCAAATTTTAATTGAGTTTTAACGAGAATGGTCTTAGCTTGGTTTAAAAAATTGTTTAGTTCTTCAGGCAAAGCTGGGTTTCCAAGCTAGTTTATCAATAAATTGATTTCAGAAATTTAAAAAAATGGTTTTCTTATTTTGAAACTTATTAAGTGTTTGGAAAACACCCTCTTGAATACAGTGAAACCCTTAATAAAGAATACATCGGAAGAATTTATCAAATGTCGTCTTGACATTTTTTAAATGAGTTTTATACTATATTGCGTAAATTTTAGTATTTGCAAAAATAAATAAATAGCCATGAATATGCGGAAACAGTTTTAAAGAGTTCAATATAATCATTTATTTTAAAAACTAAATATCTGCAACGTTCCATTATCAGAAAGTGAAGAATACGACATTTGATGAATTCTTTCGATGTATTCGTTATTAAGGGTTTCACTGTATTATATCTTACTGCTCAGTAATCTGAGCAGTAAGATCTTAGTTATATTTAACCTAATTTAGGTATATATATATATATATATATATGAACTAGAGCAGCAAGGGAATTCGGAATAATTATGAGAAAGCACTTCTTGTAACCCCTCCCACCGTTCTACTCCTACCCCTCTCATACATTCTCAACTTTCATTCATCTTTCTTAATTTTCATCCCATTCTTTGTCTTCACTTTTCATTTTTTCAATCCACGCACCCTTGCTAAAATTTTCAATCTACGCATCCTTGCTAAAATATTTAATCTACGCCCCGCACCCTAGCTAAAACATTCAATCTACGCATCCTAGCTAAAATAATCAATCTGCGCACCCTTGCTAAAATATTCAATCTACACACCCTTGATAAAATATTCAATCTACGCACCCTTGCTAAAATATTCAATCTACGCGCGCACCCTTGCTAAAACATTCAAACTACGCATCCTAGCTAAAATAATCAATCTACGCAACCTTGCTAAAGCATTCAATCTACGCATCCTTGCTAAAATAATCAATCTACACACCCTTGCTAAAATATTCAATCTACGCACCCTTGCTAAAATATTCAATCTACGCATCCTTGCTAAATATTTAATCTACACACCCTTGCTAAAATATGCAATCTACGCACCCTTGCTAAAATATTCAATCTATGCATCCTTGCTAAAATATTCAATCTACGCACCCTTGCTAAAATATTCAATCTACGCACCCTTGCTAATATTTTCAATCTACGCATTCTTGCTAAAATATTCAATTGTTCTTTAAACTTCTTATCTACTTTCCTTTCTTTTAAACATTTACTTTGAGTTGTTTCTTTATTTCTTCCTTTTAATCATTTCTCCCTTTTTCAAGTTTGTCTGGATTCTTTTTACGGTTCCATCACATCATTTAATCCATCTTTTAAACAATATGTAAAGTTTATGGTCCCATCCCCTCTCTTTTCATTTTAATTTTAACGCTTTTCCCCTCTCTTCCTATATTAATTTTACCTTTCGCCCATCTCTTCCCATATTCATTTTAACCTTTCTCCCCTCTCTTCCATTCATCTTAACCCTTCTCCCCTCTCTTCCCATATTCATTTTAACCTTTTTTCCCTCTCTTCCCATATTCATTTTAACCCTTCTCATCTCTTTTCCCATATTCATTTTAACCCTTCTCATCTCTTTTCCCATATTCATCTTAACCTTTCTCCCCTATCTTCCCATATTTAATTTAATCTTTCTCCCATTTCTTCCCGCATTCTTTTTAATCTTTCTCCCCTCTCTTCTCATATTTATTTTAATTTTTTTTCTCCTCTCTCATTTACACTTTTTATCCTTCCTTCTTTGACTATTATAATATAAAAACTATAAGCGGCACTTATCTCTCTTTTATACAATTTTTCTGAAAATTTATTGTCAGATGTTAAAGAGTTATTATTAACAATAACAAACCCCCCTTCCTCTAAACCAGTATATTGGGACTTAAAGTTTAAAGCAGCAATTATGTAACATAAAACATATTTTATGCATACATCAATAGTTCGTTATTTTTGCAATATGAGAACATCGATTTTTGGCAGAGGAGGGTTACACCATATTTCCTGTATTTAGCTAAAAATCGATTCAGCCCCCCCCCCCCC